GGGCCTAAATCATTTCAAAAAAAAACACTTCTGAGTTCTCTGATAATGTAACTTTAAAAGAAGAAAATGGAATAGCCCACTATAAAGAAATTGTTTAAAAGACTAAGAAATCTCTTTAAACAGATGAATTCAATATGAGGCTTTAAGTGGTGTGTACTCAGCCAAGAGCACAAATTACATATAACTTATGTAAAATGCTTTACATATTTATTTCCATTATTTGAACTTGGCTGCTGCATTTTATCAGGACAAGATCTCATGGCAAGATCTCATAATAATAGGCTTGGGGAAAATCTCTGCTTCATAGAAACTTGACAGGGTCTTCTTTCCTCCTGGGAAGGCGTGTCCTCAGACCCGGGTTAGGAAGTTTAAAGGACAGCATGCTCCATCACCACCGACTGCCTGCTCGGAAGGTCTGAACGTCTTGGCTCAGAAATCACAGACCCTTGACATTTCTAGGGCTAAGTCTTGAGATCTTTGCCCAAATTCAAAACTATTCCTAGATAAGCTTACGCAGGTTCCTGATCTTCTTTGGAATTATATTTTCCTCTTGGGTCATAAAGTTTCTTACACATACTTTCTCACCCTAGTTATTAATCTTTTTAACTCCTCGTATCTAATGGCCATGGTGTTGGCCATCACAAAGCACACAAACTGAGTGGCTGACACAGCGGGAACGCAGTGTCTCACCGTTCCAGTTCTGGGGGCAGAAGTCTGACGTCACGGTGTTGGCAGGATTGACAGGGTTGGCAGTTTTTGAGGGCTGTGAACGAGAATGGTTCATCCTCTCCTAGCTTCTGGTGGTTTGCTGGCAAATCTCTGGCCTTCCTTGGCTTGAAGAAGCATCACTGACCTCTCCCTTCATCTTCAGATAATGTTCACCCTGTGTACTTATCTATGTTCAAATTTCCTCCTTTTATAAGGACACCTGTCATTTTGGATTAGGGCCCTCCCTGATGACCTCACCTTCACGAACTACCTCTGCAAAGACTCTATTTCTAAATAGGGTTACATTACAAGGTACTGAGAGTACTTCAACACCTGCATTTTGGAAGGACACGATACAACCCACAGCGGCCATTTATCACGTGAGTTTGACATTTCCCAATCACTACATACTGTTTAACTGCTGAATTTCCTATGCCTGCAACAGAACCTGGAATGCAAGAGGAGCTCAGTAAATATTTGTTGAATGAGTGACTGAATAAATGAATGAGACTGCAAGTGAGAAAAAAAATTGTGAGTGCTCAGAGTTGAGCTCAGCTAACTAACTGGCTGAGTAGCGTGTTCCTGCATGGAATTTAGCAGGAATTAACATCAGCCTCAGCAAAACTGCAAGATACTATATATACCCCATGAATCTCTAAGGTCACTCACAGATAGTCAGAATCACAAATGGGGTAACTCACAAATTACTACACAGTATATATACTTTTAGTAGTAACTTGTTTCCTAAGGGAAAAATAAAGTATCAGAAATAGGGTAGCAAATGATTTCAGTTTAAGTAAGCCAAGGAATGCATCATTAGCGAGAGCAAAGATCACCAAATGAAACAGTGTTAGCCAGATACATTACAACATGGTCTACAGGCAACCCACTGCTACAGCGCTCAATCGCAGGCGACTCCTTGTTATAATTCTCCTGTTATTTTAATAAATAAACCTCTCTGGACAAAACCCAAGATGAATGGTATACTACAGCCAACTGTGTATAACAAGGCTCTATTCTTTTTACCGTAACATTTTTCAACATAGCCTCTCCATAGATAATACCTACATAACAAGGAATTGAAGGTATTCTTCTCTATTTCTCCTAATCATCTCATTCAGATCTTATCACCATGAATTTCCTGGGTACTTGGCTTTAAAATACTGTATTACTATCAACCTTAAATTCAAGCCCTGGGTAGGTCTACATTCATTTCAACAGAAGCATCTTGAAATGTTGAATTATCATCTTCAATTTCCCTCAGTCATTTATTGTAGCTGCCAAACTGAAATGCTGCGCCTTACAGGCAACACTAAACTGAAAGCAAGTAATAAAAAGAGTCTCTTATATGTTTCATTTATAAAAGCTTATTTTCCTACCATCAAATTTTGTATACCGTCTGAAATACATCACTTTACAAAACTGACACCATGCATGCAGTTATTCTGCCCTGATACATTTACTAAACTTCAAGGACGGGGAGTGGGAGGTGGGAACTAGCATCTTTTTTCAACCCTTTTGAACAGGTGAGTCACACAGAGCCAGGATGGTTATGGTTTTGGCCTCTGGGGGCTGGGGACACAGAATTAAAATTAAGCTTCAGTTACTGATAGATATCACTATAACTACCTCCTTTTCTGGATAGCTTTACTGATCTCCCTGACTACATTAAAAATTATGCAATAAAATGAACACTTTATAAAGGCACATCGAGTCACAGTGTGACTGCCCCAGAGTGGTCGGACTGGGACAGCTCACTCTGATAAGAAAACGAATCTGCAAACCAGAAACACTCACAGCATTTTCTTGAAACACTGCTCACAAGTAATATATAGCAAATTAATCAGGCAGAACAAATCTGCAGAGTTCCATTATAAAACCCTGCATACTTTCCCCATAGAATAACTGTTGATGACAACTATGAAGTACTAATATACAAAATAAACAAAATACAGTTTGTATTTCAAAAACTAAAAACTTTTAAACCAGGATAGAGGGGAAAGGAAATGTTTTTATTAGTAAAGTACATCACATTCATATGAAATGGGCTGCTACCAAGGTCACTGGGTAAAAGAGCCACTGACTTGACCTGAGCAGGTCTGGGAAGTATTCTATGGAGGGAGAAAATGAGGTGCCAGTGTTCTCTGTTCTTTCCTTTACAGACCAAACTTAGCTACCACACAAGGGTCAGAATCACTGTTCACATCTTCTCAGCTAATGTCACTTGGTAAAACCAGAATTTCTGACAACTGTTTCCATCAAATCACAGTTTCCCTGTATCACAACTGAGTGATTCTAACACAGTTTCTACTCCAATGGCTTGCTTAAGAAGCAAGTCTCTGTATTCAACACCTTGTCCGGATCTGAAGCCATTCCTGCCCACATTTGTAACTAATTTTCAAAGCCTCATTTACAAACAATGCCAATCCACTCACAAGAGCTCAACAGAACAATTTTTTAATGTACAAGGTGTTATAAAAACCAATCAACTTGCCATAACCTCCTAATTCCAGGAATATAAACCATAATTCAAGCATCAATTCTCCTCTTAACATATTCTACTTTACTAAAATGAATTCTCATCCTGCAACTATGAAGAAAACTGTACTTAAAATAATATTAAAAGACAGAATCTCATTATTTAGTTTTAGATTAAAGTCTATAATTCTAGCCTTAAAAATATCTATAGCTATAACCTCTCCAACTTATCAATTCCCAAAGACATTAATAAAAGACGTCATTAACATCTAAACTTACAGTAGACTGTCATTTGGAACAAACTGTGTTAACAGTAACTCTACCAGAGTCAAATAGACCAACCCCTCACCCTTTATGCTTCTGACTAAGGTTAATGAGCATGATTTGTCATAAATTTCCCAGTAACTCTGAAAATCTGAATTGAACAAAAAGACTACTTTTTTCATTGAGTAAAGGTTGGAGTTGTTTTATTTAGAACCCAGCACAGTGTTTTGCAATGGAAACATCATTAAGTACATGTGAAATGAATAAACAACAAATAAGCAGCCCAATGCACTATTTAGCTCCTTATTATGTGCTAAGTATTTAAAATTACATATAATAAAGTGGAATACATCCAAACTGTTTTTTATTTCTACTAAGAAACACGAAAGAACTATTCACCTAAGAATTTCCACTTTAACAGACTATAAAGTTGGACTTTTACAAACCTATAATTTGGCTAATGATTTTCTATAATTGTAAATATTTCTTTATGAAATTAGAAACATACAGAAGTGCTAGTTAAAAGTTTCTTTGCAATAAATAAGGCCACAGGTACACGCCACTTAATTTTAATAACATTTATATCTCTCATGAAGAAGTTGCTTTTTTAAAAAGCCAAAAATCTCAATGGAGAAAAAAAGAATGAAATGAAATAACTACAAATGTTCTTCCACTTCAAAAGCTGTCTGACACCTGAGCCAGAAGCCTTTCTGCGCCTGTCAGTGACTTCCTCTTCATCTGTCACAGAAAGAGTTCAACATGCTTTACAAAATCCATTACATTTTAAGACCATTTCCAATATCGGCTACCATAAATCAAGAAATCCATTTATTCAAGGTTACTTATGGAAAATTAATCACACAGAAAATTTTAACAATTCCTTTTTCAAAAATTAAAGTGTTTTACTGTACGTGGCATTCCCATACATGATGTGGATTCAAAGACTGGAAGCATTAAGGGGATATAAGGAAAATTCATAGGCTAACCCCTAATAAGTAATTTTAATATTAGAAGTATCTGTAACAAGTACTTCAGAAAAAAATAAATCAGAATATAAACACAACACAGCATCGCTGAATGTCTCCTCTGCTGAAGTAGCACGTGCGCCACAGCAAGCTGTTCCGAACCCTCGCACACGCAGCCGCGGGGTCCTCGGAATGCAATCCGTCTGGGAAAGCGGGCCGGCGGGGCTGTGGGCACTATGCATCAGAAGTGCAGCACAGCCCTGACTGGTGTGGCTCAGTGGATTGAGCGCGGGCCTGCGAACCACACGATCGAGGTTCGATTCCCAGTCAGGGCACATGCCTGGGTTGCAGGCCGGTTCCCTGCAGGCCAGTTCCCAGCAGGGGACGCACAAAAGGGAACCATACATTGATGTTTCTCTCCCTCTCTCCTTCCCCCCCTTCCCCTCTAAAGATGAATAATAAAATATTTAAAAAAAAAAAAAAGAAGTGCAGCACGTGGATTTTCCTGGTCCTAGTGATTTCTGAAACGTATCTTCCTACTTTCAAGGGCAAGTTTACTCAAAAGAAAAGAATACACAGGTCAGCTACACGACATTTACAGCTTTTATTGATAGGACTCAGCCATTATGCCAAATTCAGCCATCGGTATACAACCTCATTTCCCACCTATAATTAATGAGAAATATTTTACTCTAAGTGAGACACAAAGTGACAATATCAAAGTGTAACCTTAAAGTCTTAAATTCACACTTCAAATATCAAAAGAAGCAATTTCCAATATCATGAAAACATGATGAAGTAACTACACAGAAAAAAATGAACAGTTAAGTCGTTTCACTTTTTTTTGTACATAGTGAAAACAGATGCATTTTAACTTCAGCCTTCAGACAGCGTACTTCATAAAGTCATTCATTTAAAATAGATAAATGTTTACAAAGAACATTTAACTTAAACTTCATAGTTGCTTATAAAACGGTACTTGAAAAGTTGACCTGTATAAGGAAACAAGAGTCCAGTCAAGAGAGATGGTAAACTATAAATATAAAATATACCACAATGTTAAAATCTCACAGTGCTCTATAGAAAAATCAATAAAGATAACTTAATCCTTCTGGGGGAAAATGTATTTAGCATTACAAATTTAAATGTAAATTTTATATATGAATTCAATAAGGAATACATTTAAACTACACATTGCACATAATCATCATCTATTTTGTGTAAAACAATAAAAATGATGTACTTTTTGAACATGTGTACATCGAAACCAAAAGGTTATTTTTTACTTTTTCCTTTATTGGCAACTTTGGATGCATTTTTAGGTGCTGGTTCCCAGAGGGCATTTTTTACAAATCTTGAAGCCGCGCCTCTGTCCAGCTTGGCAGCCTTTTTCTTGTCGGTGATTTCCTTGACTCTGTTCATGTACACTCTGATTCTTTCCTAAAAGAGAGAGAAGAGGAGAAGCAACAGATTTACTACCGGCAGCAGGCTTCACTGTACTGCAGTCAGTCAAACCGAGCAGACATGTATCCACTCCTACTGAGTGGGGCTACATTCGTGGGCAAGTAGGGTAAACACGCTCCATGCTCTCCTGGAGTCCATAGCGTAGGGAAATACAGACATTAAGAAGTCATTTCAAAAGTGTTCTGAGTGTTTCAAAGGAGGGAAAACTATACTAAGACATCACTACAGAGATAAACATTGAACTGTTTATATGTTCTTTAATTTAGCATTAACCTAAATCAGCATATTAACTCTTATTGACCTGAAGTCTGTAATCTAAAATAGAGCTCTCACATACTTGCAACATACAAACTAAACTCTCCTAAAAATTTTCTAAACAGAAAATGGTTGAGGCAGAACTGATTTTTTTTATATTACCTTGGAGTGTCACAATTATAATAAGCAGAATGAAAATATAAAATCTTTTATTCAATTTCACAGTTTTGATTGATAAGCACAAATTTTCTAATGATATATACAGTTCTAATCGAACAGGCTGCCATACCATTAAAATCTCCTGAGCTCATTAATCAGAATGAAGGGCTTATTTCAGTTGGAGAAATAAAGGTAATGAGAGCCATAAAATAACAGAGTAATGATTGATCACTGCTTAAAAGCAAGTTTCATTAAAAAAAATCAAAATAGTGACATTACCATACACACAAAAACGCAGAACCTCAGAATCTTTTAATTGTGAAAGACTGACAACTCTGCTCAAAACCTCCCGCGGCCCCCTATTTCTCTCAGAGAAAAAGCAAAAGTCCTCAATCACAACCCACGCCCTCTCCAACCCTGCAAAGGACCCAAAGCCGAAGGTCCACAGAGCCACTCCCTCCCTTCCTCCCAGTCAATTCAAATGTTAACCTCGTTAACAGGCCTACTGAGGCCATTTAAAATGGCATTCCTACCCAGATACGCCAATCCCTACAGTGTACTACTTCTTTTTTTTTCCTGTGACATATACTCTAATATCCCTAACATATCACATATTCATCAGTATTTATTATTTGTTTCTTTGATTATGTTAATTGTCTCCCTCCACTAGAGGGTCTGCCATCTGCCACTGGACAGGGATATTTAAAGGCTTTATTCACTGGGAAACTCTCACTTAAAAATAATGCCTGGCTCCTACCAGGCGCTTAAACACTTGTTGAATAAATAAATTCACTATTTTCAATGCTTTTCCCTATTCACAATATCTCTCGCTCACTAACTCTGTGATCAATTAGTGATGTCTGCCACAAGGCCAGAAAAGCAGAAAAGGTTTATATGTTCTTTTTATTTCTCAACCCTTGCCCAGAATATGAATGTACCCCTCCATAAAGTGGGTTCTGAGAGGAAGAGAAGGCAGATGATTTTACCTTTTTCCAATGACGGGACCAAGTATTAAAATACTCCCAATAACTTTGTGTTAAAGAAAAGAGAGAAATTTCACAAATGCCAAGTCTATATTAGAAAGTTGGAAACAGATGACACACTGCATACTTCTTAGGATTTAAAGCAAGTATCACTGCTCAGAACAAGATCTGTGCACCATACTGCTTTATATTTTGCTTTAAGTAGTTTTTCACAATGTCTATACTTAAAAATAAAATTTTTCCCAAGAACTTTAAAAGAAGAAAATATCTTAGTGCATACATTAACAAAATGAAGACAACAGTTCTGGTTTATTCATTTTCTAAACATAAATGACCAAGTACTGTACTGTTACATACGCTTCACTAAGTTGTATACGACACACACATCAACTAGTATAAGACTTAAGAACAATAATACAGTGTCAAGTGCATTCACACATATATTTACCTTATATTTTATAAACACAAAGAACAAATTATTATTATTATTATTCATAAAGCCAAGTCAAGAAGGTAACCACCAGTTTGATCTCTAATTTTTCTCTTTTAAATTGGATTATTTGATTTAATTTTTGAAGTCAGCAAAAACGAAGTTACCAGACCTTATATACGGTACTTATACATCCAAATGGAATACAAAGACAAAGCTACAAGATTTATTACCGGCTGTAAATATGTCACTAATGCAGAATTACTGGACAGTACACATACAACTGGTGCCAAAAAAGCTTTTAGCTTTGTTGCTGAACTGGATTCTTTACTGCTGAGAAAATGAATTAATGGAAGAATTGAAAAGGTGGGGGAGAAACTTTCCCGTCTTTGCTAGTAAATCAACTAGAATATACTTTTAAGAATTGTGTAAGAGTTTTAAAAAAGGGGGGCAGTTGTAGAGATGAACAGGATTTCAAGAATTTATAAAATAATATGGAAGTTATAAATAATTACTAGAACCATGACATATTTTTTCCATCCAGAGATTCATATAGTATATGGAAAACCAATTCTCTGACAGAGATACAGAGATAAGAAAAAGAAAAACTAAAGACATGATGAAACCTGACTCACTTTCCCAATTCCAACTCTAAATAATCTAATTCTCCGCAGTTAGTATGATAAAGGTGCTGCGACTTTAACTTCAGGAATACTACAACAGACAGACATGTAAAGTAAAAAAAGCCACTGAACCTTACCAATTCCTGCTTTACTGGATGTTCCTTAGGATTAACTCCCTGAGTTGCCAAATAAACTACAAGAGAAAGATTTTTGCATGAAATAAAATGGTGTATGTATTAATTAAGAGCATTAATCAAAAAAACTTTAGTGACAAAAAAGCAATGTCACACAAATGACTGATTAAATCCTAAATTATTCAACCTCTATGTAATAATAACTATGTGCATAGCTCCCAGGCATGTGGTATTCTGACTCAAAAGAAATAAATATCTGACTATTAAAACTGTCATAAAGTATAATTGTGTATAAAGTGCTAGCATTTAAAAAATAAATCACTCTTGACTTAATAAATAATTTGCTTTCTAATTAACTACAAAATAATATACGTACCCCAAAACATTGAATTTAATGTGTAAGCAGAAACTAAATCCACTTTTGCTTGTTCAAGTGGGTCCAACTATTAGAAACAGAGAAAAGAAATTCAAACTCTGAGAACCGTCACATATTTTAAACTTTCATCAAGCACAATGTATCAAAGAAACATTTTTTTTTTTACTTCTTATAATCCAATAACAAAATGATCTGGAAATAATTTGCAAAAAGAAAAAGTTTTGTTAACCAGTGATTTCTGTCCACAAACTTTCAATTCAGGGTACCATCTTTAGTTAGACAAGGAATGTCCATAATCCAAGAAAAATTCTTTTGAATTATTTTAATTTCAGAAGTTACGATCTGGGCTTTGTATGTCAAAAGTAATTTATCAATATAAACACTGTACATGATGCATTTATGTATAAGAAGCAGGCTAAAATGCTTAGGCGGTACCACGGACAGAAGAAACATAATGAGATTTGTTTTAGACTGTCAGAGTCAATTTACTCTTTTTGTCCTATAGGGTTTCCAGAACTCTGATAACATCATTGTAATACTTAAAAGGTCAAATATAGAGTCTGTGGAAAAGAATGCAGTGAGTGGTCCTTTTTTTTTCCTTCCCAAAACCAAGTCAAAATAAAATATAGTTAAGAGGTATTTCCTAAGATTGGAGTTTTATTTTAACCCCTAAAAATACCCAAACACTTATAAAATTAAAATAAAGGAGGAAAGAACCATGCATATATCATTAATCTATCTCTTAACACAGCACTCTGTTTTAGGAATTACACGTGTAGAAATTACATTTGTAAAGTACCTTCTGCAACAACTCATTTCTGGAAACAGACATCATGGTCTTCAGCATGTCATCTACAGCACCAATGGAATTCTCAAATGTTGATAAATACTCATGAATTTCTGCTGGATAGTCTTCATTAATTTCCTCTTCTGCCATTATGACCAACTGGAAAAAAAGTAAATTCTTAGAATCCATACTGGGGATACATATTGCTCTTAAGGTTATAAAAAAAAAAACATATTGGAGACAGACATTGCTCTTTAAAGGTTACCAAAAAAATGAATACCGTGTACTTCAAAAGTACTAAAAATGTTAAAACCCTAAGATAATTAAACAAATCTTAGAACATAATCCTAAAGCAACTAATCTAAAATTCCCCTCTTCTTAATTTGCTTGGGAAGGGGGGCAGGTGGAGAACAGCAAACAGACCCACCCAAGTTTACTAATGCTACGTATACTGAATTCAAAACACTTTTCAAGAACTAAACACATGACTATCAAATATGGAATGTAAACAATCAAAATCCTACATTTAAAAAACTTCCTCTCATTTCTGTCCTGGTGACTCAATTGGCTAGAGCATCATCCTAATACACCAAGATTGCAGGTTCAATCCCCAGTCAGAGCACAAACTAGAATCAACCGATGAATGCGTAAGTAAGCAGAACAACAAACTGATGTTTCTCTGTCTCTCTTTCTCTCTCTCTCTCTGTGTCTCTGTCTTTCTCTCCCCTCTCCCCCTTCTTCTCTCTCTAAAATCAATAAATAAAAATTTTGTAAAAATTTCTGTTGAAGTTAAAGTATATCCCCTAATGCTTGCTGAAAAAATAATAAGCAAAGCTCTTTTTTTTGAAGAACATATATATTTTAGCCCTTCTAAATTTAGGTGTTGATCTTGCACCATGGTATATTAAACTAAAAAATGAGAAATCCTAGGTCTGAAGTAATCTTATGACTATTTATCACTAAAATCATTTTTCATGCCTATATTTATATTTATATATATGTATTCTTTAAGCTTCTCTAAAATATTAAGAAATTCAAAGAGTCCATAAATCACATAAGCAGAAAAGAGGAAACTGGGGAGAAATAAACTATATGGTTTTCATTTAGGCTAGAGCATACCATGACAGCCCATTCTTTTAAAATTCACATTTAATCATAATATTTAGTATCTATGTGAGAAAAAGCAAAATCAACATCAATGTACTTCATATGGTATCTAAGACCAAATTTCACAAGCAATTCTAAAGCCATACATACCATCTTTAGGTTTAAATTTTTTTTCATTAGCTGAAAATACCTCTTTCATGTGACATAACTAAAGAAACAGCAAGAATGTGGTAAAACAGCACAGTGCATAGCAGAATTAAAGTAAAAAGACTTGGGCTTTGCATCTTGCTTGACCACTGACTTTGTCACCTTAGACAAATCACTGAATCTCTCTGAGCCTCAAACACCTCATCCATAAAATGGTCTAATGACCTGTAGAGGACCCTTACAGTTCTAAGTGTTATGACTATGTAATTTAAGTTTAAAAAGTACTATTAGAATTTTAGATGCAATATATCAACATTTCTATTCAACGAGTACATATTCCACTGAGACATCTGGGTTCACTTACAAAGCAAGCGAACAGCACCTGACCACCACTGCTTGCACTGTAAAGTTACCTTCCAACTGCTGTGCAAGCAGCAACCGGGCGAAGAACTAAGGTAAAAGAAGAGCACACAGGAAGGCACTGACTTCTGTTCCAAAAGGCCAACCGAAAACATGCATTTCCCTCTCATCCCTCCCAAAACCTCCCCAAAATGATAGAAGAAATGTAAAAATAAGTCCATAGTAACACTGTGGACTTATAACCAAAAAGGGCCCATTCCGATCAGCGAGGGATATACTGCAAATATAGAAGACTCAGTATTTCTTCCCTTCATGTAAAACCATAAACTAATAAATTTGGAAATATGAATTAAAAGAATGAAGTGCTGGGGAAAAAGAATCAATTACCAAAAATAACCTAAAAGAAGTATATAAAAAATAGATAATTAACCATAAGGAAAAAATTTAAAGGACATCAAAGATCCACGCTCCGAAAGGGATCCAAATCTAAAGGATATTCAGAGGTGGTTTCTTCCAAACCTTCAAGAAACAGTTAATTCTTGTGGCATTTAACTGGTTAAGAACACAGAAAAAGATGGGAAAACTCAGACACCTACTTCATAACATACACAAAAAATAAACTCCGGATGCATGCAAAAGGTAAATGAATAAACATATTAAAAGATTATATAAAATATTTATATAATCCAAATGAAACCCAAATGCTATAAAATGAAATGGCTGATGGACTTAACTACATAAAAACTAAAAAACTATATGTTAAAAGAAACAACCAGGAGGAAATATTTGCCAGAATATAACAAAGGATTAGTTAGATTATATTGAGTTCCTAGAGAGCATTAAACAAATTAAAATAATTAAGATATCACCCATCAGATTGGTAATAATTTTAAAGATTATCAAAGTTCAGTGTTAGCAAGGCATATACTGAAGGTAGAATACACATTGGTACAGATTTTTTAAGTGCACATTCCCTCTGACTCAGGAAATCCTCTTAAGAATCTAGCCTACAGAAATCCTTGTACCCATGCGTACAAATTTATCTGAATGGACCCTTCAAACTCTTCTCTGAATTTCCCCTACTTTTCTTGCATCAATTTTTCCCTCTGCTAGATCACCATTACCCATAAATCTTAAAGTATTTTATTTCTCCATCTTAGATAAGAAACAAAAGAAACATCTTGATTTCATAGCCCCCTCCAGCTAAAGCTCCATTTTCTATCTCCCTTTTAGAACTTCTCAAAAGAGTTGCTTACGCCAACAGTCCAATTCCTCTTCTTCCATTCTTTCTTAACTCTAATCCAAACAGGCCCCTACTTTTCACTCAAACTTGCTCTTATCAAGGTCACCCACTCAGCAGTATGGTTAAGTTTAATGGTCAGTTCTCATCATTTGACTTCACTGACTCCCTTCTTTTGGTTCCCAGGGCATCACACGTTTTTTGGTTTCCTTCCTCACTGGCTGCTTTCTTGGTGTCTTTTGCAGGATCCTTCTCATAACCTCAGCCTCTTAACCTTGAAGTGTCCCAAGGGCTGTCCTTGATTCTCTTTTGTTTTCTAGTTTACTCCCTAAGTCAGCTCTGGGCTTTAAATTGGGTTAATAAACTGATGACTCCCAGGTTTATGTCCCCAGCCCTGACCCCCCCTACTGAATGAATTCCACATCTACATTTCCAACTGCTTACTCAATGCCTCTGGTTAAATAATAACATATTCTCAAGCATAACGTGCTCAAAGCCAAATTTCTAATCTTGCCTACCCCAGTCTTCCCCACCTCATTTCATGGTAACTCCATCCTTCCAATTGTTCAGCCCTAAAATTTCAGAGAGGTCCTGAATTCTTTTCTCTCTCACCCTATTTTTAAATATCTTCAGAATCTAACCTCATCCTACCACGTCTACTGCTACCATCTGGTCCAATGCAGTCCAAGCCATTGCTGGCCTTTGCCTAGATTATTGCAATAGCCTCTTAAATGACCTCCTTGTTTCCAGCCCAGTAGTTTAAAATCAAGAAAAAGTAGAGTGATCACTCCAAATCTATGTCAAACCTCTGCATGGAAACTTCCAAAGGCCTACCACCTACCTCACTTAGAGTGTAAGACAAAGTCCTAAAAAGCCCAACACAATTTGCCCTCCCTGCCTCCTTCTGGGACCTCAGCTCTTCCCACTCCACCCCTTGCTTCAGGCCCCACCAGCCAGGATGGCATCGCTGCTCCTCCCCATCACAGCAGGTGCGCCCCTACCCCAGGGCCTTTGTACTTCTCACCTTCGCAGAATCTCCTGCTCCTCCTTTCTTCCCCAAGCAAGAGCTTCAGGGCTTTACCTGCCAGAGCTTTACTCCAGTGCCACCTATTGGTGAACCTTTCCTGACCACTCTCTTTTATAATGCATGCCCCTGAACTCCCTATGTCCTTCTCTACCTTACAGTCCTCAGTAACACCTGACATATTTCTTTTACTCATTGCCAGCCCACCTCAAAAGACGGTACTACATGAGAACAGAATTTTTTGTGCTTCATTTTCTGCTAGCAAAGCACTACCTGGCAGTGAATAAACATTTGTTGAATAAATCACCAATAACAAAATACTGGGAAAAAATCTATTCATCAATAGGAAAACAGCTAAATGAATTGTAGCACATCCACCAAAACAATATTAAAAATAAGCCAGCTGGTAAAGGTTCATTTGGCTAAATCCCAGCAGAACAACGTGGAGCACAAGGTTGAAACTTTGCCTGGTGTCCGTAAGAAGCTCACAGGCAAGGATGAGTGTTAATTTTGAATTCCCAGAGTTTCAGCTGTAAATAAAAATGACTAAATAAAATATTGTTCACAGTTAAAAAAGAAAAGAAAGAAGTAAATGTTCATGTAGAAGACATAATGAAAAGTGGTGAAAAATGTCATAGACCATTGTACATAATATACAATGTATCTAACGCATGCCATTTGTTTTTAAAAACCTGTACCTGTAGATATGCAGAAAGATTTGAAGGAAACATAAAATATAGACATTCGCTCTGAGAAGGGGCAGGGATTAGGGAGTAGGATTAAAGCAGACCATTTTTTTAAACTCTTCATTTTTCATTGTCTAAGTTTCATTACTTCATAAGGCATGTTAAATTTGTAATAAAAAGTAATCATTAAATTTAAATAAAGGAATATTCTAAAAAATATTTTGGCTTTTAACAAACACTGCAAGTATGAAAACACCACAAAAAAAGGGCCTTCATTTAAACATAATTTTTTCAACCAATTCTTCTATAGAAAATATTTTCCCCCTCTAGAATCAAAATGGGGGTTTTTTTTCCTGCAATTATTCCCTGTCCCTAAGCCCCAATAAACAAGTAGTTATACATTGTTTAATGGGTTAGGGTGAACACTGAAAGCAAGGCAGTAATTAAGAATAATTACCCTCATTAAATCTGAACTGAACCACTTGCCCTTTACCTAACTAAAAAAAAAAAAATGGCAAGGCACACTAAGAAATAAAAGTTCTTCTATGACCAGAGATTCCCCCCAAATCAAATGATTTTTTTCTAACATCTTATA